GCAGTCCCTGCTGTCCTTCACCGTCCTCTTCCTGGCGTGGCTCGCTGGCTTCAGCTCCAGGCTCTTCGCCGTCATCCGCTTCGAGAGCATCATCCACGAGTTTGACCCTTGGTGAGTAGCGCGGCCCGGCGGGGGGGGGCAGGTGGAGAGAGAGGAGCGGCGGGTGTTTCTTTTTTTTGTCAACAGAAATCGATGGGCGACTTTCAACTTTTTTTTCCCCTTCCTCCCTGAGGATAACTTTTTCCTCCCCCCCCCCACGTGCAAACTGCAAGCGGGTCGTTCGGGGTTAAAAGCCGATCCAGAGGTTTCCTGCGTCTTCATTCATTCGGACCCGGGGCCGCGGGGGGGGGCGCGTCCACCTGCCCCAGCCTGGCGCGGAAGTGGAGCTGCGTGGGTTTGTTTGCGCCTGGCGTGTGACCCGGTCCCCCCCCTCACCCCCCCACCCCACCCGTGGTCGTGTCTGCTCTCTGGCTCGGCGGGGCCGGGGGGGACATTGCCCAGGCGGTGAGCCAGCGTGGGGGGGGTCAACTCTAATCTAGTCTCGCCGGGGAGCGAGTCACGTTGAACCCGGAAGCTTTCAGCTGATTTTTTCCTATTTCACCCCCCGGGAATGATCCTTAGTCGTGGTTCGAGCCTACTGGCTGCTGACTTCTACCTGATCTTCGAAAGCAGGGCTGTATCGCTCATTCATATTCCCCTGTCGCTGGCCGCTGCCCAGCCCCGTCGCCCTCCTGCGTCCCCGCATGATCACATGCGGTGCCCAGTCGTGCGAGGTGTGACTCGGGGAGGCGTCCAGCGGGGGTCTCCGTGCGGGTTACTGCGTCCCAAATGTGCCTCCCCGGTCCTCCATCATCATCATCATCATCATCATCATTCACCGTGCATCATCGGGGGCAAAAAAAAAGCCCCGATTCTCCCAAGGGTGCAGCTTGAGGTCGCTTTCCAATCCCGAGTCAGATGGTTGTTTGTTTGTTGAGGGTCTTTAAATCTCTCCCATCCGAGCTATCGCGGCTCCAGACGCGAAGATACAATAGCTGCTCTTCACCCTGGCGAGCACATGCTTGGCGCCTCGCCTCCTGCAAGCCTGTCACTGGCTCGTACTGGCGACCTGTCATCGTGCCCGGATCCCAGGGCTAGCGGTGAGGCCGATTAATCAGGGCTCGGCGTGTGTTTTTGACCCTCTAGAGCTCGTCTCCCCATTCTGAATTCCGTGTTCTTAAGAATACACGGGACGCGTGGGTTTCATCCTGTTCTGTAGCTGGTGCTGATGCTGGCAGCAGTGCATGCCCCTGGTGTGTCACTGTCGAGCACTGCAAGCCCGGATGTGTTGGGGTTGTCAGGTTGCTGTCAAGTGTAGTAGCGGTATGGGAAAGGAGTCCGGTTTAGGACCTGCTAGGCTCTTTTGTATAAGGTTAAAAGCCTTAGGTGCAAATTGCATTGTGAAACCTGACGCCACATTAACGAAGGCCCTGCTTTTCCTCGCGTTGCAACAGTGTAAGGCACGCCAGCCTGCACGGAGCGTGTGAATTTATCAGTGTTGCAATGCCCGTTATTGTATACGTTTCCTTGACAGTTGAACTTTGTCTTGAAAATGAGGCATGGCTGTGGTAGAGTGCTGTCTTGGTTAAAGTCACACCACACTTTTGGTTTTTCATGGGTGTTGCAATCTAATCTTTATTCTTAGCTGGAGTTTTAATGTCGAGGCGCTTTAATACATTGATCTTTTTTTGTGCACAACAGGTTTTCTCTCAAGAGAGGTAGCTTGTTACATTTTTTCCAGTTCTTCAGGTAGTCAACCTTGTGTTTGTCTATATTTGAAGGCTAAACCTTCATATTAAATGATCATGGTATTGATGAAATCATTACAGAATGGTGCTTTTCCTTTTTAAAATTGAGAACCCCTTAATGGATACTACTAATTTTTTTTCTGCAAAAATTCCCACATCACGCATCTTGGCCATTCCAGCCAAAGTCAGTCTTGCTCTTAGCTGAGACAGCCTTGGTTAGCATTACGTTATTGATTTTTCATTTTTATGTCTGCATTCAGTGCCACTCAAACGCATTATAACAAGCGTTGAAGAGCGCAAACATTGAATATTGAAGTGTTGTCTTCAGCTTCAGACAGTTTTCACCTTCACTTCAGGAAGAAGGAGGTTTGCACCACAGTGAAGTCTAATGCCTGTACAGTACATTACAGTCGCAAGCAACACCACAGAAGGGGCGATCTAAGAAAGATGAGGGTGGCGCAGACATACTGGTGGTTTGATAGGCTTCTGGGAAGCTGGCCCTGTGGTGGGTGGGTGTGTTGGGGTCTGTGTGTGCCCGGCGGGGGACGGACGTCTCGTCTGGGGTGCTACCTGCCTTGGTCCTGCTGCTTGCTGGTCTAGGCACTGGCTTCCTGTGTGGGGAAAGCTGTTAGAAAATGCATAGATGATTAAGAAAGATTAGAACTAAGATGAGCTGAATGGCCTCCTCTTACATTTTTGGTTTTTATAACATTTACTGTAGCTACCTGGGATCTGTCCTGCTTGGAAGCAACTGGTCGGCTTCACCGGTATGGCTGACTAACGTTTTCCCGGTGCCCACAACCCTTTGTGCCAAAGGGGTATGCGTACAACACGAGTCTCCAGGTCTCAGATCCGAGTGCCGTTCCGTGTAGTTCAAACTAGTTTTTGTTTGTGTTGATTGTGACGTTTATGGGGTTGAGGGTCAGCGTGCCTTTCGGACTCTTGAATTGTCCTTGTAGTCCTGCTCCCGTTGTGATCGGGGAGATCCCTTTGTTTCTTACCCGTGGTGTCGGCTGGCCTGCTCCAATGGGTCTTTCTCCTCTGTGTGTGTGGCTTCATCGTTGGTCAGCGGTGTGTGTTGCTGAGGAAGGTGTTTTGGAAGGAGTGGGGTCCTTAGAGACACAAGGAGGAGAGGGGGAATATAACAGTCTAGATTTGAAATGCCATTATCTATTGGTATTCTTAGGGCACAGAAAGAAGCAAATATTTTCATATCTTTAAAATGCGCGGCGTGGTGCAGGATATAGGGGAATCCAAGTGCTTCAGCCATGAAATTGTCTGGTCGGAGTGATCTGATGCCGATAGGGTTAACTGCTGCAAACGCTGGATCTGTATTCAGAACATTCATTCCTGTGGTAGTTCTGAATTGATGAAAATATCTTGTCAAATTAATCGTCTTCTGCAGTTTATTTTTTTCTTCGTAGTGCTTAAAATCTATAGTCCTAGAATTGCCAGGCCATGAACACTAGTTCAAAACCATGTTTAAATCATTTTTCTTATTTTGTGCTTGTACTCTTGTAGGTTGTCTGAATACGAATGTATTGATTCTTTGCAAAGCAACCATATTAAATTATACATTCACCTGTGATTCGGATACAATATATAATACCTGGCACCGTTTTTCAAGTCATGTTTATGTATTATAAAGTTGCAGGCCCCTGAACTTAGCTTTTCTTTTTAATTTAGGTTGAATATTTTCCACACAATTCTAAATTGTCAATTAAGCAAGAAACGTTACTTAGCCACATGTCCGAGCCTGTTGCCTGGATTAGTCATGGAATCATTCTTAAGCTGGAGAATGGTAGGGGAAGTCAGCTCTTGGTTCTGTATCTAAACTCATGCATTTATGTCATGTAAATGTATTGCAAAGCAATAAACAACCTAGTTCATCTGCTTGAAGTACTCATCTAAATGAGTTTTTT